GAACACTGATTATTCTTGCAGAAGACCCAGGTTCAAATCCCAGCACTCACATGGCAGCTAACAACTGTCCGTAACTCCAGTCCCAAGGAATCTGACAGCCTCTTCTGTCTTCCACCGGCATTGCATGACACGGGTGCATTTACCTACATGCAGGCAATACACACATACACATAAAATAAAAATAATAAATAAAATATATTTTTTTAATTTTTTGGTCTTTTTGAGACAGGGTCTCCCTGTAGCCCCAGATATCCTGGAACTCACTATGTAGACCAGGCTGGCCTTGAACTCACAGAGATCTGCCTGCCTCTGCCTCCCGAGTGCTGGGGTTAAAGGCGTGCACCTATTTAAATGAATAAATAAATAAATATTTTAACATAGTGTTAAAAATCATAAGAGCTCATTTTTCCAAAATGATTCTAGCCAACCATGTCTCCCAATTAATACTAGAGAGCATCTGAGAGGGTGTTCACCAGGTTTTACAAGGGTTCTTTCTGGCTGTGGTATGTAATTAGGTTGTTTCTTTCCAATCTTTTCTCTTATGCTTTCAAATAGTAACTGAATTTTTGTAATGAGCATGTATCATTCCCCCCTCAAAAAAGTGGCCCTCATTTCTTTTAAAATCCAATGAAATCTCCATATTAGAAGTTACAAGGGGGGCTGGAGAGATGGTTCAGTAGCCACTGGCTACTCTTGCTGAGGACCCAGGTTCAAATGCTACCACCCACATGGCAACTAGCTCCAGTTCCAGGGATATCTGATGCCTTCTTCTGACCTCCACAGACTTTTCACAACATGAGTGGACTTACCTACATGCAGTCATGTAGATACACTCATACACATGAATAATGAATAACATATTTTTAAAAGAAATTACAAGGAAATTCATTGTACGGTAGAACTTAGAAGAGACTGTTTCTCCATGGGCCTCCCAAATTACATCACCAATTTTCCCCACCCAGGTTTTGTTTTGTAACACACACAAAAAATTTTTTGTTCAAGCTTAATTCTTATAAATCAAAACCTCCACACTCTGACGTAAAATGAGATAGGTGCCAATTTATGAGTTAATAAATCACCGCCTCTCAGACACACCTAGAATGATGAGGAATAGGATCAATTCCACCGCAGATTCTGGTGAAAAGGTTTAGGTGTGTAGCCTGGACCTTGTACTCACTAGAAGAGAGGATGTTTTCCTCCACCCTGAGGCTGGGCCCATGCTAACAGGACCCAGAGCCAACCACAAACTTGAATCAAAACCAGTGACCAAGAATTTTTTGTGTGCGTCAGAACATGACTTTCTGCCATGCAATCTCTGCGTTTCCCTTGCTTGTTATATTGTTTATTACGGTATTGCTGTGACAAAATACCTGACAGAAACAGCATAAGGGAGGAAATATTTGTGCTGACTCATAGTTTCAGGCAGTCTCAGTCTATCATGAAGGGAAGGACATGGTGGAGTTCATGGTGGCAGGAGCTTATGGCATAGACTCAATGGTAGATCAGGAAGCAGAGAAAACAAGACAAGAACCAAGGGCTGGGTGCAGCCTTCAAAGGCTTTCCCACAGTAACCTGCTTCCATCAGCTAGGCCCCACCACCTAAAGGTTCCCAAAACTCCCAAACTAGCACCACCAGTTGGGAATATTCCAGACTTGAGTCAATGGGGGAACATCTCAGATTCAAGCCATGACACCTGCTCTACCTTTGTTACTCCGTCCCTCTCTCAGACTTTTTTCTATTGCTATAGTGAAGTGTCTGAGAAGTTCATTCTTTTGTAGCTCTAGGCACCAGGATGTTCAAGGCTGATGCACCACATTTGGTGCAGGCTTTCTTGCCCATAGGGACTCTCCTGATGCAGGGCGGGTGATTATGTGGAGAGGGGAGTCCATACGAGAGATGAAGACAGACTGGATTTTATAGCATTCACTCTCAAAATAACCTGCTAACCAACCAATCCATTTAATACACAGATTAATCCATTCGTGAAGTCAGAGACCTCATCATCTAAATATCTGCTAATGGTCTCACCTGGTCCCACCTCTCCATACCTCCTGATGCAAATTAGGTTTCAGCATGAGTTTTAGAGGGACAGTCACACTGAAGTACTCTTTTTGTGCTTAAGGGGCCGCAAGCATGGTTTCTAAGCACTACTGAGCTTTCTTTGGTCACAGCTACATTTTTCTGGCATTTTACATTCTTTTTCTCAGATTTTAGTCTAAGGACAGAAGGACCACAGAGGGTGTGTTTCAATGTTTATTTATAATTGGAATTTAATTATCTTTTCCTGCTTTAGGGCTCCGTGGTTCACGCTCCTCACAGAGATAGAAAATGATGGCTTCAGAGGGCCTGAGTTAAAAATCTCAACTCTAGAAAAGTTCGTTATTAACACTATTTATGAAGATAATTCAACAAGGTAGGTGGTGGTAATGATGAGGTAGAAGATGTAATCCTGCTTTCCAGAAGGATGCAGTCTCCAAGATGTGTAACAAGTATGGTATGCATTGTGGTCAATAAAAGTACTGGTGAGGAGGTTGGGATGTAGGTTGGTGGGTAGAGTGCTTACTTAGCATGCAAAAAGCTCTAAATTCGATTCCAAGCACCCACCACATAAAGAGAGCACAGCATTCGGGAGGTAGAGCTATGAAGATCAGAAGTTCAAGGTCATCCTCTGCTACATAGCAAGTTTAAGGCTAACCTGGGCTATGAGTCTCTATCTCAAAAAACAAAAGAGACAGAGAGAAGTAAGAGTGAAACTCATTCAAACACAGGAGCTGGTGGGACCAAGTGCACCCAGCAAGTGGGCGCTCCCAGCTTCCAGAGAAGTACAGGGATGCCAAGTAGTCCATCCCACTGGAAGATCTTAGGTCCAGGCTAGGCAGTTTCCTCCCATCAGGGGCATCTGACTCATCTAGGAGAATTCAGAAAATGGTTCTTGAAGGAAGTAACCATTGAACTACAAGGGAAAGAGGGATCAGTGGCAACACAGACCAAGGGAGTGACATCTATGAACTCATGCACTCAATTATACTGTAATACAAATCACTCTGAATCCTTCACCTCTGTAAGCGCTCGGTCTTCTATCTGCAAAGTGTATACAACTGGGCATTGGAGGTAGAGGTCAATAAGAAAGTGCTTGCCTTCCACCAGATGGGTTCCACATACCTGCACCAGAGAGAGAGAGAGAGAGAGAGAGAGAGAGAGAGAGAGAGAGGTGAGAGAACAATAATAACCTTTGCCTGGCAACAACCAAGTCTTCTTATAAGAATTAAACAAAGACTAGTAAACTGAGAGGGGAGAAGGGTTATACAGGGCCCCTCATGACCCAGCTCACTGAAAGCAGTGCCATATGGCACAGAGAACCCTCTGTGGCTTCACTAACAGTTCAACCTCTCCCTGTCCCTTCAGGCCTCAGCTTCCCTTATCTGTAGAATTAGTGGCATTGAACCAGTAACACTAAAGAATCGTCTGATGTTGACATTTTATTTTTGTGTTGTGTGTATGTGTGATGTAAGATGCACACATGTGTATGGGTAGTTATGCACATGTGTGCACTAGAGGCCAGAGTAAGGTATCAGACATCCTGCTCTGTCACTGTTTACTTTATTCCCTTGAGATGGGTCTCTCTCACTGAACCTGGAGGCTAGCAGCCAACTAGCCCCGGTGATCCCCTTGTCTCTACATCCCCACAGTGCTAGGGTTTCAAGCTCTTTACATGGGCTCTGGGGAGTTGAACATCAGGTCTTTATGCCTGCATAGCAAGCACTTTTACATGCTGAACCATCTCTCCAGCCCCTGATGTTAACAGTTCACTTCTAAGTTCCCTTTAAATCAAGTCATCATTGCTGTACATTCATATGAGCAAGGTCCCAGGAGCCTATAAAATTCTATTTCCATATGATCATGTACCTCCTCCCCTGACTCTTACAATCTTTCCTCCCTGTCTTCCACAATGGTCCTTGAACCCTGGGTGGGTGACTTAATATAGAAGTCCTGACCAAGAACCCACTGAGGCCTTAGTGGATGAACTTGTACTAAGGGACATGAGGAGACACTAACTTGACTTGATAGGCCTTAACACAAATGACAGAATGCATGGAATCCAGTAGGGGGCTATGAGAGAGGCCAGTGGGGAAGAAGGTATAAAAATGATTAAGATGTTCTATATGAAATACATAAAAATTCAATAAAAAATTTACCAAAAAAAGTCAAGTCATCAGGAACTAGCACATGGCCCTTGCCCCAAACCACATCATCAATCATTCCTAACCTTTACCTTGGCCAAAGTGTAGGATTCATCAAGCATGTCAAACCACCCATGACACACTTCCTGTTTTCCATTGTCCCTGCTGTAGGTCATGGACCCATACAAGCCAGTGGTCCCTGGGGTCAGTTAGAGACAGAGACGGGGACTGCTGGGCAGTTAACAAAGCTTTGTTCCTCCCCAGAGTCCAGAGACGTCCAGGCACAAGCCAGATTGTTTGGTTTTGAGGTGTGCTGGGATGAAAGGCATCCTGGAAGTGGAAGGTCAGTCATTCATTAATTAATTACAACTATAATTGAGGGTTTGTTCTGAAGAGCGATTCCTTTGAAATTACTTTCCACCAAACAGCAACTGCCACAAAGGAATCAGATATTCAGAGTACTCTCTATTTCCTTCTGCACAGGAGCACTTTTCTTCCAAGACTTGAGATTCTGGTTTGATCTAGCTCTATCCTTGAAAGCCTCTCCTACCCTCAGGTCCATTTGGAGCACCGTGTGTGTGTGTGTGTGTGTGTGTGTGTGTGTGTGTGTGTGTATACACTTAATGTTTACTTTCTAAAAAGAAAATCTGTACCACACCAAAAAGCTTTACTGCCTGTTTTAATCTGACCTTTTCTGGATAAACGGAAGATGGAAAAATTCCACTGGGAGATTAGACACCTGAGACTGCATGCTACCCACCTGATGTCGCGTGGGCCACACCTCCAGGTTACCACTGGAAGGGAGGAAGCAAACTGTCATATTGATGTGGTTCTAAACAACAACAACAAAGTGTGTTGGCCCAGGGGCACTTCGGGATTGACCAAGAGGAAACACATATTGCACAATGATAGGATCTTGTCGGTACAGTTGTCAGAGAAGGGAACTCCCACAGCAAAGGGCATAAAACCATCCCAGGCAGCCTGGGGCTGCTCAGTTCTGTAGTGTCAGGGAGCAGAGCAGAGCCCCGGCCTGCTCCACACACAGATGGGACCATGAACTCCAGTCACAGCTTTAGCCAGACCTGCTCAGCCTCCGTCCATGGCACTGGAGGCAGCTGGGGTCAGCCTGGGAGCTTCCACAGGGCCCCTAGCGTCCATGGTGGTGCAGGGGGTGTCCGCATCTCCCTTTCCTTCACCACACCTCGCTGCCTGCCCCCTGGAAGGTCTTGGGGGTCTGGAAGAGGCGACTCCCTCTTAGGCGGAAATGGAAAGGCGACCATGCAGAACCTCAACGACCGCCTGGCCACCTACCTGGAGAAGGTGCGGGCCCTGGAGGAGGCCAACTTGAAGCTGGAAAGCCGCATCCTGCAGTGGCATCAGGAGAGAGAACCCAGCAGCAAGAAAGACTATTCCCAGTACGAGGAAAACATCAGCCACCTGCAGGAGCAGGTAAGACGCTAAGCAACCCTGCAGCTGGCCACGGCATGGCCTTGCCAGGGAACCCTGGGGAGGAGAAAACAGCACAAAAGACAATTCCCAAGCAAAGAGCAAAGGAACTGAAAATACTGCTCCCATAAGATATCTGATTATCATAGCTTAAGTGTGGACCAGGAAAGCTTGTTTGATTACTCTATGCATAAATAATACAGCAAATGAAGGCTGCAAAATTTTCAGAAGTATTATGGATGATGCTTTAAGCAAAACTGTCTGGTTTAATAAAACCCAAAAACCCAAAAGCATGAGGCAGCCAGTTGCTGTGTAATAACACTTACCAGCCAATAATGTCACAGAGGTGATAAGGGCTGGTATGCATGGTGCACCCTTGGTATACAAGGCACAGGAGACTGTTTACTTTCTCATTACATCAGTTCTGCTCCACCTCAAAGTCGAAGTGACCATGTGGCTCTCCGTCAACAAAAGGCTATGTTACACTACTGTGGAGATCACACCTAAAAGCTCTCACTCCATCAATAGCCATATCATCCATCCAGACCTTCCCTGGCTATTTGGGGGAGACTGCTTGAAGATAAAGTTTCTCACAATTTTGAGAATGGCATATTGCTAGGGGAAAAATGATAAAATGAACCTAAGTTTAAAAATTAGAGAGAGTTGGCATGGGTTGTAGAGATATGCTTCAAAAAATAAATTCTTATCAACCAACCATCTAGAAAGGTAAGCGCATACCTTCTTGAGATGGCCGGCTACAAGGAGGGACCCTTTTATGTGAGACAGTTCCAGAAAAAAAAATCCCTGAAAGCATGATTTGACCTACCCTAGAAGGGCCATCACAGGCTTCCAATATTTATATCGTATTATTTCACAACACACAGTCATCCTTGCTTGAATATAGGAAGGACCAATCAAGATAATATAAATCTGTCCTTGTAATGAACCCTAATTATTGAATAATCAGCCTAATAACCAAGTGTGTAATTGCGTTAACTACATAGTGCATGGTTGTCTTTATGAAAAAAACAAGGTGACTCAACATCCTCACCGTGTTTTTCATTTAATAAAGTTGCTTTGGTTTTAGAATGGAGGGAAAAGATGATGCCTGCAAACGGAGAGCTGAGGAGGTAGTGGCCCTATTCACCAACAGAGCCAGGAAGGGAAGAAAGGGGAGGGAGAAAGGGGAGGAAGCGCTTCCCACAGGCCAGGCCTCCCGGTGGGTGTTTAATATGGGTATCTGTGCTAAGAGCTTTCTGCAGTGGTGGGATTCTGGTTCATCTCATCTAATTCTCACAACTGCTAGAAAACTGAAGTTCAGAGAAATCATCACCAAAGTCATCAGCCAGAGGCAGAGGTGAGATTCTCACTCAGGGTTGTTTCAAATGGTAATTTCTATCTCAGCATGGCCAACCAGCCTGCCTCCTGCAAAGATGTATGTATATATATTATCCATAAAGACAATGCATTAAGTTGACAGTGCTATTTGTGAAATGCGTATTTCACACGTATGGTTCAATTCTCATGACTCCGTGAAGCAGGTATTTTTATGCCCTACCTACAGACGAGGAGACTGAAACTGGATAGTTTTTTAAATTCTTTAGAACAGAAGTGGAAACACAGTTCTGAGGAGGGAGAGCTAGACCCGTCCCCCCTATCAGAACTCCAGATTCAGAGACCAAATAGGAAACGTCTTCCATTTCAAGGTCTACAATTTTCCTCCAGGTGTTTCATCCTCTTTGGCTTGGAAGAGAGCCACTCTTTGAGCTGAAGTAGTCTATCTTCCCTGACCCCCACCCCCCAATCTGCAGATGAGAAAACAGGAGCCAGGAGGTGTTCCAGTTACATGGGGCTGGCTCTTCTGGGCCTTCAGGGAGCTCTGAGTAAATGCAACACTTCACTCTCACTTAAGAATGCTGTGTGTTACTCAAAAAAGTCACAAGAAATGTAGTTCAGAATGAATCCAAACCTTTTGAAACGCAAAATCGGACCTTGCAGTAGCACTATCTTGCATAATATTCCCTGAATGATTCTTAATACTCGGCAGTTGGAATTACGGTCAAGTTGTCTATTTTCCTCTCCCTAGTAGGAGATCACATACTTTGGAGCAATGATAATTTGCTAATACACTAACTAGATCTTCAAAGAATGAACTCAGGGCCTTGGGGAAAATCCAGGTGATTGTCACAACAAACAACTTAAAAATCTATGCCTCATACATTTTTTATCCTCACATCCCCATCCATTCATGACCATGAAAGACATGAAAGATGCCTCAGAAATAGTGACTGCATTATAATACCATGTTAAGCAAACCCAATGGGGGGGGCGAGAGAGAGAGAGAGAGAGAGAGAGAGAGAGAGAGAGAGAGAGAACAACAGAGAGAGAAAAACTGTCTCATGTAGTCCAGGCTGGCCTCAAACTTACTATGTAGCCAAGGATGACCTTGAACTCCTGATCTCCTGCCTCTATGTCTCCTATACTGGGAATGCTGGCATGCACCAACATGCTCTGTTTATGCAGTTCTGGGTATTGAACTCAAGGCTTTGTACATATTTTGCATGCACTCTACTACCTAAGCTATATCCCCAACCCTACATGTGCTTGATGTCAAGTACACTCCAGGCCTCACACTCCTGAGCCACAAGAACACTGGCTCAGGGAATTGCAGTGGATAGATGATCAGTTTAACATGGAAAAGTCAAAGAAGCTCACTCAGGGCTACTTTTACTTCTCCAATTCTAGTGTGTACAGTGCAAGCCTACTAATGAGGTGAAAGTCAATCAGCTTCATAGTATATAGAAAATAGAGTACCTCAGTGCACAAAGAAGAAAGGTTTACTTCAGAGTTAAAGCTTTTAGGATGGAGCTACTTTAATTTGACTTGAGGAAGTAATACCAAGAATAAGGGTCCTGGAAGGAAAGGGCTGGTAAGAACGCCAGAAAGCAGCGCTGTAAACAGGAGGCCAGGAATGCTGCAGTTTCCACTCTGGGGTCAAAGGAAGATGCCATAGGACCATTTGGTCCCAAAAAGGGAAGAAGGAAGTGGGGAAGGGCAGCTATCTCCCGCCACAAACAGCAAAAGTTAGATGAGGGGCTGCATCTCACATATAAAACCCGGGTCTTCATCTCAGGCAGACGTTGGTTCTCATCGCAAACGTGATTACACAATTTCCATTTCTCTGAACTAGGCTTTCAGAGTGTCTGTAGTATACCAAGAACAGTCTGTTTGTATCATTGTTCAGTTCAGTACCTTCTAATTCTCATAACTCAGTGGAGAAACTGAGACTGCTGAGCTCATTCAGCTAGTGGGTGCTGGAGCAGGACCCAGCTCTGCTCCTGGGGTTCCAGAGCCAGTGCTCTTACCACTTGTGAAGCACACTATTGTGCATTCATGAGGCCAAATTCCAAGTAACCAGTGAAGCTTTAAATAGGACCTGACTTTTAAAAGGTGCCTTTGTGTTGAGGAATAGCTTTGCCCCAAGAAAATCCTTTCTAAATAAAGGAATTAGCTATCTAAATACAACAGGAATGCCACAGGCTTCTCTGATTCCAAATATGTTACAGAAGTTTATAGCAAGGATCTTGAAGGTCACCTATTTCTAGTATAAGCTCCTTCTTCAACAAGGGACCTGAAGGACAGGGTGCAGGGACTGCGCAAGGTCACATGGACTTATCAAGAGAGCCAGATCAAAGAAATGCTCTGGTTTCTACTCTGGCACAATGCTTGGTACTAAAGTACTATTATACCTTTGGACAATGAGAAATTAACCCCATTTCCCCCCAACAATAATACGTATCAAATGTTCACTCTTTCTCTAGTATAACATCTTATATACCCAATTGTTTAGGCAAACACTTCCAACAACACTTTTCTTTTGAAAGTAAGCAAAAATTATGCAAATATCTAGAGAACATCTTTAAGTGAAGGCTTTAACACTGTTGAGGCTGTTACGCAGCTTCTATAGATGGTGATTTCATGATTTAATTGCTGCAGTCAAGGCATTCTCATCATGGAGTATATTACAAACATACATCCCTGAAGGTTATGTATGTAACTCTAGTCGCTTTGGGCAAAAAAATAATGTGCTACTTGGTGACTATTATGAGACATACTAAAATTAGCTATCAGCTTCGCTTAATAACACTGGAAATGTGAATATGTCACAAGTAAGAATTACATGCACCTAAAAGAATAACTGTATTTTAGGAAACCTTAACACACACACACACACACACACACACACACACACACACACACACACACACACACCCACACACCACACACATACCCCACACACACACACACCACATACACACACCACACACACCACACACACACACCACACACCACCACACATACACCACACACACACACCACACACCACACACACACCACACACCACACACACACCACACACACCACTCACACCACACACACACCACACACACACACACACACACACACACACACTTGGTGACGAGTGTGAGACATACTAAAATTAGCTATCAGCTTCGCTTAATAACACTGGAAATGTGAATATGTCACAAGTAAGAATTACATGCACCTAAAAGAATAACTGTATTTTAGGAAACCTTAACACACACACACACACACACACACACACACATACACACACACACCCCACACATACACCACACACATACACCACACACATACGCCACACACACACGCATTTAACACATACTACACACACATACACGTATATAAGACACACACATAAATTTTCAAAAAGGCTTAAAACCCAAACTGGCATTTAAGATGTGGAAACCTAGGCAAACCACTGAGACCTATTCACAACACTGGAAAGTTGGAAGGCAAGTCCAGAAATACTATCCTTGTCCTTCCTCTCCCTGATGGTTCTTCTAATGATTACATCGAGCCTAGCCTGTCAGAACCCAGCATAAATTTGTGCTGCTCTCAGCCTTGGTCAGAGAAGCATCTTATGGTGGTGGGTGGTGGTTAATGCAGATTCATAGCTGTCTCAAGTACTGAGAACAAGCGACTGTGAGAGCTCAGCCACAGATGGGTCATCCATAGCAACACCCACAGCCCCAAAGCACAGGGAACATGGAGGAAGAGGGGGGCAGAAAGAATTTAAGAACTGGGGGATGGGAAGGAGCGCGGTGAAAGGACGTCTTCCAGAGCATGCAGCTATACACACAAACCCACAGCAGCTGTAATCACCTTCGTCTAAGAACTGCTCAAGATCGAGCCAGTTAGAAATCCCAGCCGTGGTGGCGCACGCCATTAATCCCAGCACTCGGGAGGCAGAGGCAGGCAGATCTCTGTGAGATTGAGGCCAGCCTGGTCTACATAGCAAGTTACGGGCTAGCTGAGGCTATAGGGAGACCCTGTCTCAAAAAGACCAAAGAAAAATAAGGAAATGATCATGTGTCTTGCTTTTGACTAAAGTATAAGCGTCTTGCCTGCCTCCCGACCTGGGGAGGGAGTGTTATTTTTCTTTGGGAGGGGGGGATGACTACTGGTAGGTTGCCTGTCCCCACTAGATGACCTCACACCCATACACATATGGGCAGCACTAAGTGGACTCAGCAAGTTAATAACAATAATAATAATAATAATAATAATAATAAATATATTTGCCTCTGGTTTTTCCTACCATCTAAGAATTATTTACCTCTCCTCTCACTACCCCTGTATAACCCTTCCTACTCTCTCCTCAGTTAAGGTATCCTCCCTTTCCCCATTTCCTTATGCAGTGGAGAGTGATTAACAGAAACTCATAGTTGCAGAGAATAGCCTGCCTCAGAGTGCTTATCCCTGAACAGGACACCTATTTCAAACCTCTGCCTCCCAAGGCTCAAGGATCATTGTGGAAGAGGAGGCAGAAAGATTCTAAGAACCAGAAGGGGTGGGGGTGGGGTGGATGACCATAAGGAAACAGTCTTCCAGATAGCTGGCCATTTACTCGTATGAACTCACCTCAATGGTGACAGCATGCACAAGTCCTATGCAAGCTCAAACCAGGCAAAATCCTAACACAGTCATGGGGAAGTGGGTAAGAAATCCCAACCTGGGAGTTGGAGAGATGGCTCAGCGGTTAAGAACACTGGCTGTTCTTGCAGAAGACCTGGGTTCAAATCCCAGCACCCACAGCTAACAACTGTCGGTAACTCCAGTTTTAGGGGATCTGACAGCCTCTTTTGTCTTCTGCGGGCATTGCACGACACAGGTGCACTTACCTACATGCAGGCAATACATGCATACACATAAATAAATAAAAATAATAAATCAAATATTAAAAAAAGAAATCCCAACCTAAGAAACTTTTGGAAATTGATAACTGCTGGACTGGAGAGAGACAGTGTCTTATAGGGATGGAACTCTTGGTGGGCCCAGTGGACAGACCCACACTGAAGGACATATGGGGACACAAATCAAAATCTATAGAGGTGTTATATGTGTGTGTGTGTGTGTGTGTGTGTGTGTATTGAATTGGGCAGGGGGTGGTGTGGGAGGAGGAAGGTACAGATGGGGAGGGGTTCTAAATGCCATTAAACTATATTGTATGAAAATCACAAAAATTCAATTAAAAATAAAAATAGTAATAATTTAATAAAGAAAAAACCTCAGCATGTAAAAAGCAAAAGCAGTTGCGGATCAGATCCTTATTGTACTTTTTACCTGGCATGATCTCAGAAAGCACATGATTTGAGTCTCACATTCTGCTGCTGAAAAAGAAGCTGTCTGTGCCAAACGTTGCAGACTCAGGAAACAGAAGGGCAGAAATACAGCTGCCATGGGTGGGTCTGTCCCACTGAAGTCACTGTCCTGCATATTTTACAGATAGTTGACGGCAAGATGACCAATGCTCAGATCGTTGTCCTCATTGACAATGCAAGGATGGCCGTGGATGACTTCAACTTTAAGTGAGTTTCTTCACAATGTTGTGCAGAAGGAAAAGCTTTATAAAAAGAAAGCCCACCCTGCTGTGACCCACAGTCCAAGTCTTACTTAGGTTCTAAGGGCGCAACAACAACAAAAGCCATGTGTGGTACTTGAATGGACCCTACTTTAAATAAACCAGATACAAGATACATCTGATAACATGGGGAGGTTTGAATATGAATCAAGAATTAGATGTTATTAAGGAATTGTTCATATTAGGTATGCTGATTTTGTTTATTTTTAAAATAGTTTTTCTTTTTTGATTTATTTATTTTATATGTATAAGTGTTTGTCTACATGGATGTAAGTGCACCCATGCATGCAATGGCTGCAGAGGTCAGAGGAGGGTGTCAGAGTCCCTGGGAACTAGAGCTACAGATGATTGTTATCTGCCATGTGGGTGCTGAGAACTGAACTGGGGTCCTCTGGAAGAGCAACCAGTGCTCTTAACTGCAAATCCATCTCTCCAGCCCCTAGAAAAAATATCTTTATTTTTAAAGGTGCATTCTAAGTATTTAGTTTAAAATGCCATAATGTCTGTAATTTGTTTGGGAAATCTTCAGCAATGAGCCACAGATGCTTGTAATCTAAGCTCAGAGGAGACAGAGATAAGAGAAGTGTGAGTTTAAGGGCAGCCTGGGATGTATAAAGAACTCAAGGCCAGCCTGGAAAACATAGAAAAGCTTATCAAAAAAATAAAAAATCAAATAAATAGATAAATAAAACCTTTCAGCAATGAAGCTAGATGAACCAAATATGGTAAGATCCTCTTGGGTAATAAAGCTAAGTGACAGGCATATAGCTGTTTATATTCTGCTTTGTTTTCAGTTAATAAGTAGTTGACGCTGGGCAGAAACATTGCATGAAACAAATGTGCAAAAGATGTCCGTATGTATCAGGGGCTTCAACTGAACCCCAAAGTAAGAGATTCACCTCCAAAGCACAGTGACCCTTACAAAGCCCATAGTGTGCTCTCCCTCCCTTCTCACCAAAGGTATGAAAACGAACTCTCCTTTAAGAAAGACTTGGAAATTGAAGTTGAGGCCCTCCGAAAGACCTTGGACGATCTGACCATTGTCACAACAGACCTGGAGCAGGAGGTGGAGGGAATGAGGAAAGAGCTCATCCTCATGAAGAAGCACCACGAGCAGGTAGGGCTCCCAGGAACCAGCTCAGCTCCTAAGTACATAGTCCAGGGTGATCACCTAAGTACAGAGGGATTAGCACCTGAGTACTGGTCCCGTTATCTCATAAGAAACCAGAGAAACAGCCAGTTCTTCCCATTTCAAGGTTATCTGCTCAGATGTTAAACACAGCCACCAAGTGTGATCATAATCATAAATGAATTGGCAAAAAATATTATTTGTTAACACATACTGGCTACCTGGACCTGTTAATGTAATACCCTAAGAATCAGGGCTGGAGGCTGGGGAGGTAGCTCAGTGGATAAAGTTCTTGCTATAAAAGCATAAGGACCTGAGTTCAGATCCTCAGAAACCCCTGGGTAGATACGGTGGCCACCTGTGATCCCAGCACTTTGGAGACAGAGACAGGATCCCTGCAGCAAGCTGGCTCACTAAGACCAGCCAAATCAGTGGGCTGTAGGCTCAGCAAGAGACCCTGCCTCAATAAAATGAAAAAGTAGGGGCACAGAAGGAAGATACCCAACATCATTTTTGGACCTCCACAGGCATGCACACATGCACACATACCTACACACACATGTCCACACACATGCAAACATGCATGCACACTGTATACTCTCTCTCTTTCTCTCTCTCTCTCTCTCTCTCTCTCTCTCTCACACACACACACACACACACACACACTTTTTTTGAAAAAGGATTGGGACTTGGAAGATAGTCAAGTCCATAAAGCACTTGCTGTGGAAACGTGAGGTCATGAATTCAAACCCCAGCACCCACATAAAAAAGCCTGGTGTGGCAGCATGTCCCCGTATCCCAACCCTGACTGGGTGGAATCAGGAGGACCCCTACGGCTGGCTGACCAACCAGTCTAGCCAAGTTGGAGAATTTCAGGTTCAGTGCAAGCCTGTCTCAAAAAATAAGGTGGAGAGCAGTCGAGGAATGTGCTCAAGGTTGCCCTATGACTTCCATGCTCACAGGCTCACACATACCTGTGCACACACATGCACACATACGTGAACAGGTATACATACACACATACCAGCACATACACATCCAAAGAATAAATGTATGAGATTGAACTTCCATCATGGGCTTACTGTGCAGAAAACAGGGACAGGAGAATAAAGAAAATACCATATAGACCAAGACGAATGTGACTAACATGAAAGCCAGAATCCTGACCTACAGAGGCATTTAACCCACTTCAGGAATTGCAAGTCACCTTAAGTCCCTGAGACTGACAAAACATAGAAAAACTTTGCAGGCAAACGTTGCTACTGAACATCAAAGAGCCAGTTTCTGAATAGCTGGTTAGACAACGACTGCTAATTAAAACTTCCCTGTGGTAGTTCGGTTTCCATAAAACCCCACATAGGCATAAGGCTTGAGATTTTAGAAGCCTCTGTTTGGCTTTTGATTATGGAACTAACTGCTGCCCGAAAGCTAAAATGGGAAGTGTTTGACGGTGTAACGGCATAGCCACTTTACCAGTGAACACTTGCTAGAAGAGTTTATTCACTCTAGATGCATAATTGTTTTTGAAATATTCTCAACCAAGGAATTGGGTCACAGAAGCCTTGTGATTATCTGTTGTTATGGTTTGAATATAAAATGTCATCCATGGACTTGGGTTTTGAATGCTTGGTCCCCCTTGGTGGCATCATTTTAGAAGTTCTGGAAACTTTGGGAAGTAGGAAATACCTGGAAGAAATGC